TATGAATCTTTAAAAAAGAAAAAGACGTGTAGGTGGCGCCCCCTACGAGTAAGAGCAATAAGAACATCAGGTTCGAATTCGACACCTCAAAAACCTCCTATTACCAAGTTTCGTTTAATTAAGTTCAGTATTTCAAAAGTTATTTGAAAAAAACGAAAATAAAAATAAAACTTCAACATCCTGTATCTTGGAAACGAAGCGTTTCCGGACATTTATTTATTTGGACAATTCATATTAGAATATTGTGAGGAATCACCTCCTGAAGTTTGTCAAAGTACTTTTGAATCACCCTGTATAGACAAATGTTTGATACTTTGGATGACCTTATAAAATACTTTAAAATTGTTCAAGTAGTTTTCGAGTTTATCAGTTACAAACAAACAACTTTTATTTTTCTCTCTATAATATTAGTTTAGATGAACATCAATTGAGAATTTTTTATTGAACAATTATTCGGTTATTATATAAAGTACTGTAATAGGGAAAACGCATATGTCTCGCATTTGAAATATTTTTGGGATTTCTGGGGACCATATTAATTATTTGAAATATAAATAAATACACGCGTGTACCTACCTAATTTTCAGTCCAACGTCAGATTAATGGTCCCGCATGTCTTTCATAACCTTTCTTCATTAAGATCCAATTGCAATGGGAACACCTAGTATAATACTCAAGTTTTACTTGTACCTAGTACGTATTTGTATGTAGGCTCTACATTTCTGGATTCAATACATTTCTGGACTCTAAAAATCGTAAGCATTTTTTACGAAATTCTCAAGAGAATTCAGAAAATATCAGCAGGCAACACTGTTCACATGGGAACTAGGCTTAAAGTTTGTTATTGTTCTGTCAAAAATGTGAAAAGGACATCTATAATGTTGGTGTAAATAATCATTGCAAATCATTGGACATTTTTCATTTCTTAATTTGGTAGTTAAAAATAGACTATTCGGTTTATATTAAATCATATCTGTATTGAGCTCTTATTTGCCAAACGTCCAAACCAGAGTTAAACACCGTAAACAAATCGGAACGGAAAGTATTACGTATTTATTTATTTACCAACTATGATAACATCGTAAGGCAATCGCAATATTCGCACAGTAGCAAGTGGTTGATTTGTCAAAATATCATACCCATTGTGGAAGTATTGCTGTTGCGGTCCTAATCTTTTGAAAATATTCATTAATATGAAGGTGAGTTATTGATAAACAGATGTACATATTATTGGTGCTTTTCATTTTGAGAAATTGTTTCTTAAGAGACTCAAATTTATAGAGGCAGGACCGGCTTCAAAACCAATTGAAGGCAAAACCTGAAAGTGGAACATACTGGAAGGAATTAATAATCATTCCACTGGTTTTTCAATAATAATTGACCATGAAGTAATTCAAGGAAACTACGTTGAGGTTAATTGTGTATCATTCTTTTCAGCGTCAGGAAGTTTTATTCATTGAAAGTCTAAAAGATATTTCAAATTTGGGATTAGTTACCCATTGACATGGTAGGTATTATTGCTGAAATAGCAAAGTCACATCTTAGCGATTTTTAGTGCTTCATAATACCCAAATTAGACCATCTTTGTAGTATTGCTTACATATAGGGAACGCCACCTCAAAAGCATATATACCCTGTGAGGCTACTGAAATGTTTCAAAAAGAACTTCAAATAAAAGTTAAGGATTTGTTTTTCTATGAGAAATTTTCAACTAACATAGAACACTTGAATTACTCAGAGAAAGGCGTATATGAGAAATATATAACAAACTATAATGGCTCATCTTATCGGAGACAATTTGATACAAAACTGCACATTTTAAGAATTATTTCATTTGGAAAACTGTCTTATTGTGTAATATAATACCAGATTGTCTTCACTACACACTAATTAAATCTACAAAAATGTAAGTCCTATGTATATCGCCATTGTCATATAGGTACCGCTCACAGGTTATTTGCACCTTGTGCATATCCATTAAAACCTTTAAATGTAAGAATTACCCCTTGAAGCAAAGACCTTCATTCATATGTGATAGAATTGGCTAATTCTTGATGACAGTCCATGATAATATAACAATTGTGATATTTTCACTATATACTTTAGAAAACCGCAGCAAGTTTATCAATATGTAATACATTCTTCAGACTGTTCAATAGTGATATGCCTGTATAGTGAATAGTGTGTTGCATCTCAAGCAAGAATGAATCATAATAGTTGTTTGTTCTAAATAATAATTGAAATATCTAGGAAATTTTCAGATTGTAACATTTTTGCTTTCAAAATCCAAAATTATATGTATAAATTGCAACAATATGTACCTGCACCTTTGCAAATGGTCAAATAGTAACTCACTTTAATCCTTCTCGAGTATCTATCTGGTGGTTTTATCATCAAGGTTTAAAATGTCAGTTCATTATATATCTGAAAACCCTATACACTACGAAACTTTTTAGTAAAAATGTTATTTTTTTCTAGGGGCATAACACATGTCTATTTGGAGTACAAGCACAGTTTGCCTAGATGTAGGGCTAGCATCATCAAATAAAACCAATATAGGAACTAGCTTCAAAAGATTACATAGCAGATCTGGACATACGTTAAATGTAAGTTAAAGCAATTTCATTATATCAAATTGAAATTGGATGAAGCTGGCCGATGCTGGCCAAGTTGGAAATTCAAGTTATCAATTATTAACCAAATTTTTTCAATATTCATTCTTTCTCCACAAAAACAGTTCAAATAAATTCAATCAATATATATTGGGTCAAAGTAAACTGTTCAAGTTTCAAAATAGATAGGTATGTAAGTTTATTCAGTACATTCAGTGATAAATTCACTCATTGACTGAAAAAAAAATTGTGAGAATCATTGACTGGGTGTTGGAATGTATCCAACCTGTCATTTGTCAAAATTGACGTTTTCACTATTTTTTAGGTATGATTTTTATTGTTGTGATTGATCAGGAGATAGAAGTTTGATTAGATTTTTGTAGTATTATTGATAAATCAAAACAATTGAAGTCGGATTCGACTGAATGTTCATAATACAATCACGAGTGAAGATGTAGTTTTACAAGGAATTATTTCAAATTCATGGTAGCATTGAATTTAAATTCTAGATTATTTTCAATTTTGAATATTTTGAAAAGAAAAGTGATTAGAGACATTTTTTCTGAGGCCCGATCCTGGATTTCTATTTAATCCAAATGTATCTAGTCATCTAGTTTTCAATTAATAAATACACTATGAAATCGTTTTTATCCCAATTGTTTTTAGTTGATATTCAACTCGTCTGATGCAATTATCTATAAATGTCAATTGGTTTCGATTCTTCTATATTATGTTACTTTGGAATGTACAGTAGATATTTTGTTTGAATGTTATTGATTTATATGCTCGTGAGCATTACAATAATAATAATAGATCTTTATTTCCCATAAAAATAAAGTGACTAATAGTGTGACTATGTGACTAATAGTATATAGCCAAATGGTGTGCAAAAAATAAATTTCATTAACCATTGCATGTTGATTTACTGTATATGCTAGGTTGTTGAATGAATAAAGTGAATTAAACTATTTAAATTTTTACTCAAGATGAACTGTTTGAAACCTTTGGTGTAGTAATAAATATTACTTGACTATTTTCCCAACACCAAACCGTTATTTTAACACCTTGACACGTGTTTCGTGTCGAGGCTTAATCTTCTAGTTTAATCTTCCTCTTGAAGATGATCACTTGGTGATCGAAACACGTGTCGAGGTGTTGAAATAACGGTTTGGTGTTAGGAAAAAACTCCAGTAATATTAAATTTAAATTTTTAGCAATAAGCATCTTAAAGATATCATGACAACTAAAATCGAGAGAAAACAATAAATTTCACAGAAATTTGTTTAAAATTTTAATGATAGGCAGAAATGAATTCTAGGCAAGTTCAGATGTATAAACACTCATCATATTTTGAGGTTTATCCACGAAAAGATTTGTAAATATATGTGTAAGGCCAATCTTAAAAACTGTTTGATTCTTAATAAGAAGTATTCAATGACGGTCTGCCCATGCGAAAATAGCAGTATACTCTGCATAAGGATATAAAAAACATCACATTGTGGACAATTAGTCACCTATATAAGTATAAAATATGTAATCATTATTCAGAGTATAATATACTTTTTTTAACAAAAGGTTTTTCACTGCTTTTTTAAACTCAATAAAGGATTCAATTCAATTCACCATGTAAGTTAAATATACTTTAGAGACACTGTAAATAAATGAGTCCTCATTCAAAGTTGTAGAAGGAGGAGGGAGTTTAATATCGTTATTTTGGCGAGTATTGTATTAAGTTGGATGAGAGGCAAACCTGTCTATATGTTTCTTCTATCAATACTGTTTCTAAGATACATAATGCATCTACGGTTATTATTTTATGGAATTTGAATAAAGGTTTACAGGATTTTTCACGAGGCTAACTTATTTCTGCCGAGATTAGTTTGGGCCTTTTTTTCATACCTGTTAGGAAATTTTGCATGTTTGTATTCACAATCACTTCAACTTTCTATGGTAAAGGTAGGTTTTTCATAAAAAGCTACCAAACATAGAGGTATAGCGACTTTTTTCCCTCGTAAAAGATCCATCATTGTTAACAGTAAAAATTGACCGAACAGATAGAGATAATATTGACAAATACACGAGATTATTGAATATTTTGGCTACAATGTAATAGAGAAATATAATATGCATCAAATTATTAATAAAATGTTTGGCATCTGATTTGTGTACAGAACACACCTCAGTCACTTTCCAAATATCAGAAATTACACAAGATTTGAGTATTAATTGAGTAAAGTTTTCAATGGATGAAAGAAAAGTTTCAGGCTCTCTACTTCTCCATCTGAATAGGAAAACATTTTTTTGTCAAAAACTAATCTCTCTCAATAAAAATATACCTCTTTCAATTTATTCGCCTATTCATTATAGAAATGTATGTATTAGTGGCTGATATATGTAGCCTCGAAAAATGATTGTTCCCTTGCTCTGTCAATCACTTGATAGATTTTCTGGATCCTATATACAGAGATAGAGGTGTATAAATGAAACCTGTATAAATTAATATTAAATTAAGCATGGTTTTACACAAAAACAACAAATGTTTTAACGAAATGTTGTATTTTTCGGTAATCAGATGAATTTGAGGAGTACAGAAAAGACATTTTTTAAATTTTTAAGTGTGTTTAACTGCAATAAAGTTATAATGTTGTATTAAAGACTTTCTTCAAATCTAAACTAATCACTTTCCTACCTCAACAAATGATTTTATGGGGAAATATTTTTGAACGCAAAAAACCATGCGCGGTTTCATACACATATTGTATGGTCTCAATGAAATACTCTCAGCCGATATGCTTTGAGATCTATAGTAAAAACAATTTCTCAAACATCATTTTACTATGTTGAGGAATATTTAAAGACTCTAGTCTCTAGTATCATCAACATATCTTTTCTCGCATGCATGTAATTTTACAATGTTTCCCTTTTTTACTTTTATTGTAACTATTTATGACATGTTTGAATGTTTTTAGTATTGATTTACTTTGTTCATAGATGTGTCCCTTCTGTTTAATAATTTTTAAGTTGTGTTGTTTACATGTAACACATGGTTATTAGGCAAGAATCATATTTATATTGGTTTTCTTTAAGTGAGTAAAATAACAGCCTATGTGAGTTAATACAAAAGTTGAAAAATAGTATTTTTCTGTAATTAGTTTAAAAATATGATTTGTTAATAAAATATATATGGCATCAATGAATCTATCCTTAAATTCTAAGGTGATTACATATGAATATAATGGCTGTGGTATACATTTCATTTACTTTATACATTCTATACATTTTAATGTGTTATGACAAAACTTTACATTTATCTTTTGTATCACTTTTTTATGTAGCTGACTAGTCCGATATATTTCTTGCAGGATGTAAGTAATTTATATTGTTTACATTTGTGTATGAATTTTGTGGATGAAATAAAGATTATGATTTGAATCTATCATAGCCACTTTCATGAGATATGTAGGTAATTTTTGAGAAAGGGTTTACAACAAATACTGTTTTTGAATGTCAAGTTAAAGGGTTTTCTCGGATTTTCATATTATTCACTATTGTGTTACGATCACGAAATGAGAACCAACTATTTTTTTCAGTGCAAGAAAATGTCCAATCCGGTCGATGCCCTCCACACTCAACGCTACCTTTCCTGGCGGAAGTTGCACCTATCTAGAGCCAAACTGAAGGCTTCGAGTAAGACATCTGCTCTTCTCTCTGGTTTTGCTATGGTTGCAATGGTGGAACTGCAGATCTCAAATCCTGAGGAAATTGACAGTGTAGTAATTGTTTCGTTCGCCATCATCACCACCCTCTTGGTTGCTGTCCATATGTTAGCACTTATGATAAGTACATGCATATTGCCGAATATCGAGGCAATATGCAGTTTGGAGTCCATTAATTTAGTGGAAGAGTCTCCACACGAACGACTACATTGGTATATTGAAACTGCATGGGCGTTTTCCACATTATTAGGACTTTTGCTATTTTTAGCTGAAATAGCTATTTTGTGTTGGATAAAGTTCACAGGGACCAATAAAAGCGCAGCTTGGTCAGCGACTGTAATCCTAGTGCCTGTACTATTTGTATTTTTAGCATTTGCAGTACATTTTTATAGATCACTTGTGGCTCATAAATATGAGACAACCTTATCTGGAATAAGGGAGCTGGAATTGTTGAAAGACCAGATAGAACAAGGTGATTTGGATGGACATAGAAACGGTGTTGGGGAATTGATACAGGGTATGCATATTGTTTAGCAGTAGTGCTTATGTTGCATATGGTTATGTATAAGTATTTCTTGAGGAGATTTAATGAATTCCTGAACTGTGATTTCGATATTTTTTACAAAAGTTTTTTACTGCAGGTATATACTTAGCAAACAACAGTAAGTGCCTTAAATTAGTTTATTCGTCTATAATTTGATTTCCCAATTATGATGGTTTGTTCTTGGGATTAGATTTTGATTCATTCTAATATTGTAGAGGGTGTTTTTATTATTCAGTTCTAATAGAATTTACTACGTACATCCAGTATTTTCAAAAATTCAGTTATGGTTATACAGTGTGACCATCTGTGGAATTTTTCACTAGGTATACATTCGAGAAGTCTACTAGAATACCAAATTTCATAAATGAATCTTCATTTTCAGTGTCACCTTCTTTTATTTTCAATGACAAGAATAAAAAAAATATTAGCATTCAAAAAAATCTGATCACACCACTATATTCAAGTAGATATGAAATGGTTTATATCAAAATTACTTCGAAAAGCAATCATCATCAAAAAAGTTGTAATAAAATAAACGGTTATAAAGGAATGAACGATATGCAATTTACTTATCTTACCAATACAATTCTAGAACTTTCATCAATAATCAGACTATTTCTCCGGATTCAGTGGTTTTCGATTTATCACTGTTCAGGATTTCATCAAAATCAATTCATCATCAAAAATTATAAATAAAGTTTGAAAAATATATCATGAGCCATTAAAATATAGTTTTTTCAAACTTTTTTTACTTGTAAGTTTATCAATAATGAAGAGATTTTGATGAAATTTGAACAGTAGCGAACAGAAACCTGTTGAATCTAGTGGAGCTGTCAGAATTTTGATGAAATTTCTGAAATTGAAATGATAAAACAATTAAGTGGCATATTTATCAAATTTCATTCCCGTATAACTTTTCAATGACGAATGCATTCCATTTTGACATAAACTATTTCAAAACTACGTGAGTCAGGTGGTGTGATTAATTAAAAAAAAGTGTTAATATTGTTTTTGATTTTTGACATTGAAAAATAATGAAAGTTGGCTCTGAAAACTAGACTCATTCATGAAGTTTTGTTTTCTAGTAGACTTATCAAATGTCTATCTATTGAAAAAAAATCCAATTGGTCGAAAATTACATTTTGAATGGGTCAAACTGTATAAACAATCTGGATAGTAAGGAACACATACCCAAGGATATATTTTTTTTAAAGTGAGACATTGCTCCCAGTATTGTTTTTATCCAGTCTTTCAAACTGTTCTGACAATTTCAAATTTGTTGGTGATGGGTTATTAAACCTGAAAGTCTGGTCGTATTTCAATATGATGTAGTATTGAAGATGTAAATGAGATAGTACCTACTCGCAAGTGGCTCCAAACTTTCCTATAATGCAGAAAAACGTGAGAAAGTAGTCAGAACACATTGTTGAGAGGCACCCCAAGAGTTTGTAAAAACTGAAAATTTTTTCAACACTAAATTATTATGTGTAATTTAATGACAGTGGACTTCATTTCAAAACAAGAGATATTTACTCGAAGTGCCTTTATTGAGTTGCACAACTCCACAAAATGTTCAAAAATTTAATCATGAATAAATAATTGATTGAATAGATGAATGATAATTAAAATAGTTTTTATTTATGTACTTTCACTGTACTACTCAAAAACTACTTTTATATTTTTATGTAATTTTCACTTAAAATATCAGTAAATTGTCTTTAGTGAATTGAATTTCATCAAATTTTCATCAATTTCATCATTTATTAGATTTCAATTATGAATGAGGTAAAGTTTAAGAAAACGGTTTTATATTTGTATATGAAATAGGCATTGCTGTCTCTTCCTCATAAACAAAATATCTGCAAACAACTATAGAAACAAAATACATAAATGTGTGTGTGTGTGTGTATGGGAGAATTGGCATTGGAATTATCCTTTTGCCACAGAGTGTAAATACATAAATAGTAATCAATCATTTGGACAAGAAACCTTCGTTAGATCTTTCAGGAACCAAAAAACGAGAAAATTTTGAATTGTATTCGATGTTCAATGTGTAAAGCGTAAAGTGGATGAGTACAGAACTACAATCTAAATATTAAGATTACTTCAATATTATGGAAGACAAATGAATTGTTTTCTGTCTAATTCGCTACATTTTGCTATTGTTACTATTCATATTTTTCTATCAATAACACTATCAACAGATACCCTCCATGATGATATATTTTTGTGAAATACTTTCAAAAATCAAATCAAATATTTGAATAATATAAACAATAATGATAATAATGATACAATTTATTTCAGTACGACTTTGCATTGAAATATAAATAGAAATTTCAATTATTTCATTTATTTGAATAACTTATTCAGCAAAAGAAATTTTATTATTAATATTTCTCTACATGCTTCATATTTCGATAACTTTTGCGAAGTTCATACTCGCTACGTTTCAGAACTGTGTAGTCTAACCTCTTTTTCACTCAAAATCATCGCCAAATATTACTGATTACTTGACCTTGAATCAGTCGTTTGAGAAACTCTTCTTGTCCGCAAACTAAAACTCGTGAAGACACAAAAAAAATTCAAAACTCAACAAATTTTGATTTAACAAAATGTGTTTCGACAAAAAGAAATGTTTCTCAAATAACTTGTGAAAATAACAAAAAGGTGTCTCAAAATCCGCAAAATTTTGATGGGAACAATATAATGCCTTCGGATAAATGACTGATTTCATTTAACACCACCTGACCTTGCGAGTTGGTACAAGATTATATTGAAATATAAGGCATTACAAAAGTCTGGTTTTAGATATCTATAAGCATTTCCCTTGTTTGATTTTTTTTTGTTCTGCTTTTAAAAACCTTTCACCCAACGAATCTCACCTCGTGTTAATGGCTTTTCTTATATATTATCTAGGTATAAATTATATAAGACTTACTGTCTTAATGAATAAAGTTTAATATATTTTCATATCTTTTCATCCATTGGTTTGTATATGCTCTATTTTATAGTGTTATATTCTTATTTGCATTACATAAATATTCCCTATGAATTTATATTAGGAACGAAGGTTGAGATACGTCATAAAATTTCTATGGTTTGCCTAGATTGCACTCTGGAATCTCTCTGTATATTTAGTTTTTGTTTCATGGAATAAAATGTGGAAATGAAAAATCTCCAAGTAGAAAATAAAGTCTTTGGGATTGTTTTCCTCATTTCGTTTCATTGAATTCCAATTATGTGGTAGAATTATTTTGGTTCTTGATAAGGGAAGAAAACCTTCAGGCCACACAATTTTCCATTACTTTTATTTGCATACTAAGAGTTAGTTCATACTGAACTTTAATATTGAACTGTGATTTCCATTAGATTGGTACTACATTTTTATTATCTACTGTTCTATTGATATATGAATAAATATATATTTTATTAAGTTGATTTTTTGGTAATGGATGATTCACTAACACTATCTTCCTCCTCTGGGTTTAGACATTCTTCGTGTTCCCCCTTGAGAGCCTTTTCTTCCAGTTTCCTACATACTTCGTCCATATTCACCAAGTAGTTCTGAAAGTATATTATGTGCTTGTGATTTGAATTAAATTCTTCCATTTTTCATTTATTTATTCAGATGCTATGGTATAACAAAAGGTATAAAAATTCTTCAACATCCTTATTTAGACGATTTTGAAAAAAGAATTGAATTTTGTGAAACAATAACGAATTTGGTAAATGAAAACCATAATATTTTGCACAATATTTGCTTTACTGATTAGAGTAGGTTTTTTCCTTAATGGGCATGTTAACAAACAATAGAGAAAGTCAACGTTTTGGCTAGAATTCTTGGGAATAGCTTTGTTGATTAAGAAAAATTCAACAGGTGAGCTCTATTAGAATCTGCTTGAAGAAATAATAGACCCCTCAATAACAACTAGTTTGGAAAAACAAATTGATGAGGTTGGTAACATGATTTTGCAAGACGTCCTTGTTCACTTTCAACAAAATGGAGCTTTTTTTAGTTAGACAGTGGCTAAATAATAAGATTTCTTGGTAGATACATTGGCCGAAGAGGAGCAGTAGAATGGCCATCACGTTCACCTGACATATCGCCATAGATTTCTTCCTATGTTTTTCCCTGTGTTCCTTTATAAAACACGCCTTGAGGGCTGGGAGATTTGAAGAAAAGAATAACAGTTGCGTGTAAAAAAGTTCAGACAGAAGTTTTTTTGAATGTTATAGATGACTTTGAAAGCAAACTTTGTTATTGTTCATAAAGTAATAGAAATTTCAAACATCTAATAAGATACAATTCTTTTCAATAATTTTTTTTGTTACAGCAAAACACTTGATACTTGAATATCTTCACGGTTTTACTTGATTTCTCCAAAATTACTCAAGAGGAAGGTGAAAGTAAATGACCTTTAAAATGAGATATCACACAGACCTCCTTTCTGTTTAAGATTTCAGGTGTTGTGTCCGTCCCTGCTTGAAGGTTTATGTGAGTTAATTGAAAACTAGCCTTTCAAAATGTTTTGTTTTGAAATAAGTTTGACATGATTTTGAATATATTTAGACTTTCTATAGGGGTCAAAATATAGAGGATTTTACTCACAGGGGGAATGGGGAATTTTGATGGGTTGATAGCAGTTTGTCGGAAGGGAAGCATTGATATTGTGCTAAAAACGCATATGTTGTTCCTCCATATTCCATGCTGTACTTGTCCCGCAGTCAGAAAATACATTATGCCTCTGCCGTGTTTTTCACTGTTTTTCCAGGATCCATCGTATTTATTTCCATTCTCGTATACAAGAACTCCTGGAAGAAATTCGATATCAGACTTTCATTACGTAAAATAGCGTTACTGTGTTAAAAATGTGATATAACATTCAAGGAGGTGATTCCTCATCAAAAAAAAGATAGGATCTTTCATATAAAGAAATTTCATTGGAGCATCCCTTGTTAAGGTTCAGCCCCTTAAAGGGGGTACATAAAATTTGTATAACAATTTTTTTCACAACCACTGAAAAATTTACAATATTGAAGTTACCCTGACGTTTTGTACTACCAAAAAGACACTTAGCCAGTAATTTATTTGGTTTACCCCGTGGTTGTAAGGGGTTGTCTTATTATTTGTTTACCATTTAAAAATTTAATTCCGATTGCTTGTTTCATTCTAAAGAAAAAATGTCTCTTGGGTTTTTTGCCCAAAATAAACCAGTTCGCACCAAAAAATTATTTTACGAACAACTACAGAGATACATCGATACTGGATTTATTGTTATTTTGTAGTTAGTACCTGCATTAAACGATTAAAGGGTAATAAACAAAACTAATTTATTAATAACAAAACACACAACATGTAGAAATCATAGTAAATGTTCAATATGTCTACCTTCAGACATTACGCATCCGTCTAGACGTCGGCGCATTGAGCCACGTATTCGCTAAAATATTCCTGGAGTCTCTCTGATTATCCTGCACGCATCGATGATGCGGTTTCTTAAGTCCTCTACATCGCGAACAGGAGTATGATAAACCAAATGCTGTAAATTGCCCCAAATAGAGAAATCGAGAGAATTGAGATCCTCAATCGATCCGGGGATCGAGCGGGCCAGTTCTGTGGTCCTCCTCGACCTATCCACTGATTTGCATACGTTTCAGTTAAATATTTTAGGGGTTGCGTTTTCCACTCCTTACAACCATGGTGTAAACCAAATAAATTTCTGGCTAAGTGTCTTTTTGGTTGTACAAAACGTCAGGTTAATTTCATTATTGTAACTTTTTTAGTGCTCGTGAAAAAATTTGTTATATAAATTTCATTTACCCCCTTTAAGGGACTGTATCTTAACAAGGGTTGCTCCAATGAAATTTCTTTATATGAAAGATCCTATCTTTTTTTCGATGAGGAATCACCTCTTTAAATGTTTTACACTTATTTAGTTACACCCTGTATATATTTTGAATGATACAACTAATTTTCCTTTATTTTCAGTATTTTAATATTAATATATGTTACAAAAAAGATTTGAAGCTTTATAACTCCTATTTATTATATGCGAGCGCTTTCGACAGCTGGTCGTTCTATCATCATCGATGCTCTACTCAAACTCAAGGTGAACTGTGAAGGTGAACTCAAGTTGATGTCTTCAACATCAACTTTCCTCTGGAAGGTTTAGACCTGAGTAATTATGCAGCAAATAATGTAACTTGTCATTATAATCTGTAAGCAGTGTTGAATCACACTGGAACACCTTACAATGGGCATTACACGGCATACTATAATAGTCACCCTACATCAGAACATGGCAAAGCCCTCTTTCGTGTATACTCAGAAATGGCGATGAAAATAAGACATTTCAGTATTCTCACGTGTGTTGATATGTTTTAGTGTTTTTTAATTTTTTGTGTAGTTTTTCTTTCTATTTTATACATATAAATTAATTGAGTTTTTATTCGAAAACTGTTAATTTGTAGTTAGGGTGCAGCCGCAACGCAAATTTCTATAATAAGATATAATCTTCACATTATTTGTCTAGTTTTGGGAGTGTGGTAGAACTGAAGCTGCAGGGGGTCCACAGGAACCAGCAAAATTGTTAAAGTGGCCCATGATAAAACCGCTGACTTAAACAAATCTTTGAATTTTCATGATCTTTGTAGAAATTGACTTGAATTGAGGTCAAAAAATAACTACTTACCCAGCCCTTGTCTGACGCCTTTGCTCCATTGTCCCTCAAAGTAGGAGCCATCTGTATACCACATTTGTCCGTATCCATCTCTCAAGCCTTCTTTCCAGTTTCCAATATAAAAACCTCCATTTACGTAGACCCTGACACCAGTTGCATCCTGTTTGCCACATTTCCAAAATCCTCTGTATTTAGTCTCGAATACATTCGTATTGGGTATCTTATGAGCCGCAACACCATATCCGTGTGGATAGTTGTTTCTGAAGTCTCCTTCATATATTACTTCATTATTGTTTGAAATTAATACTCCTTTTCCTTGAAAAAATATCTCAATGGAATATACACATAAGTGCCTTTGGTATTCAGTTCATTTTTAATTCTTATTTCAAAAAGCGTTTGCATCACTAGAAGTCCAAATCTTCATAGCAAATATCTCTCATGGTTTTATGAGCCTTGGCTATGAAAATATTGAAAACAGACAGATGTGCTGAAGATATGAAGAGAAAACCCCTAAGTTCAAAGAAGTTCAATTGATGTGGAGCCCCCGTAAAAAATGAAAATCATCTCTAATGAAGATTGGCTTCAATTCTAAAGGAGTTTATACGGTGACACAAACATATATTTAAAAAAGTTCACCCATCCTCTAGAGCAGGAGTCTCCAAACTACGGCCCGCGGGCCAAATCCGGCCCGCCAGTGTCATCAATCCGGCCCGCGACAGCCAATGATTTACTGTCATCAATCTGGCCCGCGACAGCCAATGATTACCTAATTGTTGTTACTATTGCTGTGATAAGTTGAAGAAGAAAACACAGAATGATAATTACTCGGTTTTATTTACTTGCAAGGTAAAACTTA